TTTCCTCGTTAAATAGGAGGAAGCACGATCTTGGAAGACTCCTTTTCGGCCTGAAGAATTCTGAATGGGTATGTTCTGCTATGTTTTCGTTGATGGCGTGAACATCTTAAAAGAACCTGGATGATGCAAACATGAAAGTATATGTTAAAGTCACGATTCTTAAGAAGAGCGTGAATTTTTTTGGCTTCACAGTCACCAACAACGATACGAACACACACCTGGAGAAACTAAAGACTATTGCAGAATTTCCAGAGCCTAAAATGCTTAGGTCTCCTTATTACAAAAAGCCATTCGACCGATACTTCGGCCTATGGCATAGGACGAAAAGGGAGATCATTTACGCCAATATTGAAAAGGAGTTACTGGCTATTGTTTCGGCACTGAACGACATTGCGGCACCATCTGTATGGAGTTAATCAATTAATAATGCCACTAATGTATAACATATGAAACAAAAATTCCCAGCAGTTACATGCTTTGTTTCGATGTACAAGCTTTCCTCGTACAGCAAACCGAAAAATTTCGAAAGTTACCTTTCAAATTTATATTTTTTTGGAAAATATTTACTTTCAGATAACACATCGAACTGATTTCGATCCAAATTATCATGCCACGGCATCGAAACCAGTGCGTCGCTTACGTCGCTCTAGTCGATTTTCTATAAACAAGTATTTAGTCGAAGAAGTAAACAATTTATTACTATGCAGCAAAAGAAAAACACAGATAACTTTTGGCACTTGGCCGGTATGGCCGCAAGTATACCTGTACCCAGATGGGTAAAAGCATTTTTCCGAAAAGGAAGAAGTCGCACGGTGCCATATCAGGTGATCAGGTGAATACAGAGAGTGGTTAATGGTTAAAATCTCATTTTTTTTTGTTTTGAAATAATCGGTCACAAGCGTCGATCGATAAGATAATTTTTGGTCCTCAGTCAATTTGTGCACAACAAACCGTGCACACACCTTTCGTAAGACCAAATGTTCGGTCAAAATGCGAAAAATCGATGTCTTGGAGATGCTCAATTCCATTTCCATGAATTTCAATGATTATTTCGGCTAATTATTGATGAATTCCCGGTGATGACGGATTTTGATTGGCCCACATGTTGATCGTCATTTATGTCCTCACGACCACCTTGAAAACGGTGAAACCACTCGTGCACTCTGCTACGTGATAGGCAATCATCGCCATAAACTTGTTTCATCGATTGAAACGTTTCGATAAAAGTGTTCCCAATTTTAGAACAAAATTTAATGTTGGCTCTTTGTTCGAAGCTCATTTTTTCACCGATAACACAAACATACTGGCACTTAAAATGAAATAACTTACTTATAATCTAATCTTACTATAATGTCATGAAATTCGCACTGAAAAATCGATAAAGATAGCAGATTCTAACGCACTAGTCAACATATAGATGGCACCATTAGGGTGCGCTAGATTCAAAAAGTCCTGTTTACTTTGGAACGCTCCATGTACAAACATTTTTATTTTAAAAATTAGTAATATTATGAATTAGTAATATTATGAAAGAGGACATTTTCATTCATAATATAAACGAAATTGGTTTGGTCTGTTAAGAGAAAATATTTTCCAAAATCTTGCAAAAATATATAAATTGCAAAAACTTTCGAAATATTTCGAATTTTGTACTTTTTATCTTTTTATTTAACGTTCAGAACCTAAAAACGGTTGTTGAACGAGAAAGGCTCGTCCATCGAATTGATGAGAGCGCGTAGTACGTTTATAAGCTATAAAAATCGCTTTATATCTCCTCAGAACCTTCATGTTTTGAATATAAAGACCAATAACTCATAAGTACAAAGGGTTTGTCCGGAAAGTCATATTATTATTATTATAGTCGATTAAAAAATATGTATTGAACCAATCGTTAAAATTCTTTAAAAACTTTCAAAACAGGCTGCTTCCGCGTCGATGCAGCGCTGCCAGCGCGATTGCCCAGCATTGAAGGCATTAAGGAAGGCGTTCTTCGGAATAGCCTTGAGAGCCGAGGTGCATGCTGCTTTGATCTCATTTGTCGTCTCAAAAGAAAAGGAATATTGTCTCTTTGTATCGGTATCCATGATTCGTCACCAGTGATAATGTTATTCAAAAATTGGGGTCTCTTTCACACATGTTCATACTTTCTTGGCACACTTCCACTCGCCGCAATTTCTGGTCGCCAGTGAGCACTTTTGCGCATGTTCAATTAACACAATGTCATGAATTACAGATTTTGATAAATTTAACATCTGAGTAATTAAAGAATACTTAGTCGACGGTTATCAAAGGTCTTAACACACGATGCATTTTCGCCATGCACCACTCACAGAAATACATCGCGAGAAAATATTTCTCCTGAGTCGCCAGAAGACAACTGACCAGTGGCTCGTTTGTTAGCTAGAAATGCCCTCTACCGAATCCAGTCGGTGAGCGTACACTCTGAAGTACAGTCGCGGCGAAAGAAAGTCAGCCCTATTACTTTCCGGACAAACTCTGTATGTTTTTTAAAATGAAAAAAAAAAACACTTTATTTCTTGACGTTAACTCCTCTACAGTATCCAAATGATACTTTTATCGGTTATTATTATTCTTGAAAGGTAAAATATAGAATACAAGGTAAATATAATACATACAAATGTAAATATGTTTACAGTTAGTATTTTAATTAGAATTGTTTAGATATTTGTAAATACTTTTTACTGAAATTGGTACCCTCAAAGAGAGCAATGAATATTCTGGAAAAATGTTTGAAATCACTAATCCTAAAAATGATAATACACATAAAAATATAATATTACTTTGTATTAAAAATGCAGTAGTTCGAATAAATAATAATTATCTAAAATTTGTTTCATGCTCTTCAAATATATCCGGTTCAAGAGCTCGAACCTGCTCGGCATCATTTTGAAAAATAAATCAGGTATAAAGGGATGCCCAACTTATTCCGGTGTGAGAGCGCCTCAAAATTAGCGTTTTTATAACATTTTCCATTATGGCCAGATCGAACAAAATAATAATTTTTGGGCAGTTATATTAAAACAACCTCACCCCAACATAAGTTCATTGAGAGTCAACAGGGTTAGGTTAATTCACTTTATTAAGTATTGAAAATTCAAAAATCAGTTGTTTTAATATACAATAAAATCATGAAAAAAAAAAAATTAAATAGTTTCTCCATATATTAAACTTCAATTTTTAATAATAATTATTCGTATTAAATTTTGGTTGCTTGAATTTAAATTTCCGAAAATTATTATTTTGTTCAATCTCTCTACAATAGAAAATATTATAAAACATGCACTCTCACACTAGAATAAGTTGGGCATCCCTTATTCCCTCCTACAAACTTTTGACTGTATAGCCTCGATATGGTGCCGCCTAACCTAACAGCATGAGCGGCGACCATGTGACATCTTAAATATAGCTTACAATTTTAAACTTGTAATATCTTTCAAATGGAATGTCCGAATTGAATAATTCAAAAAGTTGTATAATGGTATTGAAGCACACTTAAATTTTTTTTAATAAGGATTAATTGTAAACTTTAAATAAAGTAGCTTTTATAGCGATGTGATTTATTCGCATATTTTTTGTAGATAATTGTATTCTTCAAATTTGTACATATTTGTTCTATAATCAATTAAGTTTTTGGAAATTTTTACACACTTTTGGTTACATTATTGGAATCTTAATATGTATCCTTAACTTTTGAAAATTGTATATAGCTTATATTCACCACAGATAGTGTAGCTATGCTAACAAACAATGAAATCTTTCGTCCTTATTATATTGGTATAGATAAATTCAAATTTTTAAGGTCGCTACTTCTACGTTAAACAAGAAGACGAGTATTCTAATATTAGGGAAATAAAAGCAAGATTCCCCAAGGTAGTGTGTTGGAATCTTCTTCATATTGTATTCACGCATGGCCTGCCAATAGAGAGCCAAATTTGCATAATGCGGTATTGCTTGCTATTGGTAGCAGTCAACTCGAGTCAACTACTAATCTCCAAAAATCTGTAAATAAAGTCCTACAAGGAATGGCAGATAAAACACATACATACATATTTTTTTCACATACAACAAGATACGGCTGAGTTTATGGTTAGCGCAGAAATATTAAAAATTGTAGCTGCACATAAACCAAGATAACTATAGCATTGAAGAAGTAGGACGACTCAAAATCTTGATGAACAGAGACAACAATTTCGGCAATGTCTCCATCTCCAAACAAATTCGAAGCTTTAGTTAAGTTCCCATTTAATTTGCAATCCATTATCCGATCTGGCTAAATATAGTAAGAAGTACCAAATGAAATTCTGTGCGAAAAACGGTGTTATATTGCAAATGTTCCCAGGTGACAACCAATTACATCTCAAATATTATATTAGCAAAAAGACTTCTGATGCTGAACGTAAGTATTCCAGTTACGAATAGAGATAATAGGAGCGCTGAGAAAGTTTCGAGTGTATTTACTTGGTATACACTTTAAACTAATAAGAGTCTACGACATCGAATTATTCGAAAAGTAATTCGCACGCTCAATGCATATCGACAATTTTATAGCATGCATTTTATCAAATAGAAAGTTGGGTAAAATAGAAGGTGCATTGCATCCGCTTCATAAAAGGTATTGGAGAGAACAAATCAATTTGATTGTAACCCTGCGAAGAATCCATAACACAGTAACTTAAATTAAGCTCTCATTTGATTGAATGAAATAAGCGCACGTACGTAAAACAACAGGGCCCGAATCGCGGCATTCGTGATAGAGCGAGCTATTGTATCGAAACAAATTTCGTGACGTTTCGAGTAGCCGGATCGCCACACTCGATACGAAGCGAATCTAAATTAGCTCACTGTAACAGCCCTGGCCTCTCTACAAATAGCATTTACGAAGTGTCAAATTGTGAAATCAAAACAAAGAAAGTTATTGAAGCCGTGCTATATTTTTTTTATAAAAGTGAAATACTATTGTTTTTCCCAAAAGTGATGCATTCAATAATTTTTTTATATTCGCCTTTGGAATCTGAGGAAGAAAACGTGCAGCAAGTCATAAAGAACCGAATGCGAGACAAAAGCAATCCCTTGATATTGCCTTCAGGAAACGGTTCAGAGTCTCTAAAAGTGCATTTAACTACGTATTGGCTGAACTCAAATTTGAAGGGCATTTGTCAACCGCAGTGGCACCAATGATTCAACTGGGAGCGACTTTGTCCCTTTTGGCCAGTGGTGGCTACCAGCACTTGGTGGGAAATGACTTTTTGATAGGAATATGTCAAAGCACTATTTGCAAAATAATAAAAAATGTAATCAGCGAAATGGAAACAAAGTTGTGCCCCCAATTTATTAAATTCGTGCCCGACAATCTTTCGGAATGCACGAAATCGTTTGTTGAAAAATACAAAATTCCTGGAGGTAAGATTAGCACTTTTATTTTGAGTAAAATGTAGCGCTTTTAAAGCTGAAGCATACTTAACATATTTAAATATATGTTTGYGCATGCAGTTATTGGATGTATTGATGGCACGCACTTTGGGCTGCAAAAACCAACAGTAAATGAGCACATGTTCTTCAACAGGAAAGGATACCATAGCCTCAACTCAATGATAGTAGGTTGCATATAAAATGTATGCACATACGTATACTTATAAACTTTAATTTAATTACAGATATGTGACCATGAATACCGCATTTTGGCCATTGACTYAMAGKATGGTGGAGCCGCACACGATTCCTTTGTGTGGAAGCATTCGGCACAACGAAAGTTTTTGGAGGAGCAATTTAACCAAAATAACTTCAAAAATGTTTGGCTTTAAGGTAATATAACTTTTTATTGTACTGTTATGCATATATGTACCTAAATTTAAAATACATTTTTCGTAAATCGATAGGAGATTTGGGTTATCCCTTGGAGCCGTGGTGTTTAACACTATTCAGGAACCCTGAAGAAGGCTCATTCTAAAGCTCGCTGTGTGGTTGAAAGAACCATTGGTATCCTAAAGGGCCGTTGGAAAATTCTCAGCAATGACAAGAGAAGCCGTTACCAACCTGAAAAAATGGCACAATTCGGGAATGTATGTGCAGCGTTGCATAACATTTGCATAYATTTCAAAGATGCGTCGTATTGTAGACATTCTGCAAGTGAAGCTATTAACACAGAAGTGGATATGGGAAACGAAACTCATTTAAACAAAATTGGCCACAAAATTCGAAACCATATAATGTTGGCGCTAGAAAATACAATTTGAATAAAACAAGTATATGTATGTTTATTATTATTTGTGTGTATATTTATTTATTTTCTTTTAAGGCTTCTAATTGTATTCGGTTAATTTGCAGCTCTWTTGCTTTGACTTCCATATAAGCTTTGTGAGCTTCCTCTTTTATTTCCATCGACCTCTCCTTCAAAGCTATAAGCTTGTCTAGTTTTGCGCCTATACTCTGCTGGTAGCTTTCAAACGCGATCATGTTTTCTTTAATGAGGGCCAGCTTTTCATCGGCAGCATCCTGTTTGCTCCTCTTCGTAGCGCTGCGACTAATAGAGGGTTTCGGTGGAACGACGTCTTCATCACTGTATAAAAGCTCTGCCATAAGCTTTTCGACAGGCTCTTTTTCAGGGGTGGGGTTGCCAAAAGTCCTTACTTCTCCCAGGCCTTCTACCGCAACGTCCATGCCGGTAGCCTGAAGCAGTTGCYCCTCTGCTGTTGTTAGGTACTTTTCTTCGTAAGGACCACCACCAGTTCRCTGCTTCGACGCTTTGTTGAAAGACAACTTCTTTTTGACGTTGTGCTTTTGATCAGCAAATACCTAAGTGTATATGTATATAGAAAAAAACATTTGTGTTAGTAAATTTGTTAAGACACTTATCAAAAGAGGAAATGCATGGAGGTCTACGTACTTTCCGCCAAGACTTAGCATCCTTCATTGGTGGACCGGCCGCATTAAGCAGGACAGCCAAGGAGTCCCACAATTTATTGGCAGCAGCTTTGCCCTGACCACATTTCGGAACATATTTTTGGCCAAATCTTGATGCCGAAGCATGTATTCGGCCATTAAATTTTTTTGTCTCATGTTGATTTTATTAACATTTGTCCTAAAAAATTGTTCTATTTATAAAATAGTCAATAACATAAACGTTAACTTACATTTTATTTGATTTTTTCTGAGTAGACTCACGACGTTTGAAAACTTTTGAATTAACGATTGCAAATTATCAATCGAATGACATTTTGTTAGGTTCGTTTGAATTACAACTCGTTATCGAATGACAGAATGTCAAATTTCGAACGAGTGTACTCGATAACGAGTGCCTCAATCCGAAAACTGGAAATTTCGAACAATTTTACTCGTTCACGAATGCCGCGATTCGGGCCCAGGTTATGGGCCCAGCCCATAGATTTTTAAATTAAAGTTTTTGCAGGGCTATAAAGCTTTTTTTATAACCGCGGAAATTTACAAAACAGCGAAAAGTATCAGCGAAATTGTAGCAAAGGGACGAGAGGAACTGTAAGGTGGTCAGGTATTAGACTAACTTTATTTGCACAATTCTTCTCCTTAAATAATATTCTATACAATATTTCGATACCGCTAAATATGTACATAATTCCGCTTTGTATTAATTCATATATACATATATATATTATGTACGTCTAACAGTTCATAAAACTAAGTACCTACTTAACGCTATTGCTTCTTCATATATAATTTAATTATTAAAGAGGAATGTAAAAATGGGAATGCAGCGTTGTATTATGCTGCTTACATATTAAACTGAGTACATGCTAAATAGGATTAACTAATGTGCTCAAACAAACATACGTGTAATTGCGTGAGCGAAACATATCGTTAGTAAAGTGTACAGAGCAAACACAATGCAAATATAATTCTTAACTGCATTGAGGTGAACGACTCCTACTGCTTAACCTTGAATGTTAGGTAAATAAGAAGTAGAAATAGCAAAAATATATAAGAACATATGGTTAAAGTATGTAGTGGTTTGCAATCGGTCACCCAACAGTTTTATAATATTTTATTAGCTACAGTAACTAAAAAGTTTCGTATAATATCAATTGAAATAATCAAAAGCGAGCTCAACTGTGAAGATTGATCCGCTAAACGCGGATAATTACGACACGTGGAAGTTGCACACGCGTGCAATTCTTGTGAAAGCTAACTTATGAAGCTACACATTAGGGGTATACATTTTTGAATTTTTTTGAAAAAAAAATTTACTTGGCATAACACGATGAGGAATAGTAAAAAAAATGATAACTGCGTTTTTAGTTTTTTAAATTGAAAATTCGTAATTCGTATGAAAATTTCATACGTATGCCAAGAAAAAACACCATATGAGATTATGTTCTTTTCTTTGTGTCTGTTTTGTTTTGCTCTTCTTCCGTTATTCGTCGTATTTTTGCGTATGACAAAAATAGATAACGGTAAATTTGCGCCTGTTGCCTTTAATTAGCTGTCGGTCTCTCATTCAGTGCGTGGCGGCTGGAGTGGAACTGTCTTTTTTAATTAACAATGTCTTTTAAAAAAAGTGGTGCTGAAGTTTTGAAAAATTCAAAGCAATGGTAAAACAATTTTAATAACATTTGAAAAGTCTAAGAATAAGAGAAGAGAAATCAATAACATTGAAAACCCCTTGAGTGAATTGTGTAAGATTCCAAAACAGACCGTGATTATAGGAAGCTATAATGAATTAGCAAAAACGGAGAAATTGAAAAAGAAAAGATGCCAGATTGTTCAAACGAAATTATTGCCTTGTGGTCGAAACTAAACTTTCCGAGCATAACACGTATAGCTGCATAACGGAAGATAACAAAAGTTTTAAATGATTATTCAACATTTTTAAAAATCCCCGGATGGCAGAAATGTTACAATGGCGTTCAACAAGTTATGTGATATAACTGATTTAAAAGGTGTCTGGCTAGGAACTGAGGACAAAAAGTTGTATGAACTCCAAACAACTACAAATGSAAAAGTTGGGTACACGACAGCTAAAGCAGTTTGTGTGCATCCCTCCAAAGCTGCCCTTTTAAGAAAAAATGTTCAAAGCACCTCGTGTTTAAATAAAGTGGCGCTCAACACTTCAACATCATCAGCTGAATCTGTCGAGCAATCACATTCTCCACCTGTTAGTGAATATAAAGCTCCTCTTCAAAGAAAAAGAAATGCGAAGGGTTCAACAAAAGCAGCAGTGACAATGGTCAATGGTACAACAGCCCATGTAAGCACCAAAAATTCCGCTAAAATATGCAATGAATTGTCCAAAGAAGGAATAAATATAGCAACACCAACACAAGCAGGTATTCACAAAGCGATGATTAAAGCAGCGCTGAACTTGGAAAAAAATTATAAGAATTCCTTAAACATTTGGTGCATTCATTTCGACGGCAAGAAATTTGGGAAGAAAGAAGTGCAGGCCGTGGTGTTAACAAATGAAGCTAAGGAAGTAAGAGTATCGGCAATGGTTCTTAAAAACGGAAAAAGTTTGTCAATTTTTGAAGGTTTCTATTTAATAATATATTTTTAGAGCATTAAATAACTTTCTATAACTTTTTTAAGGAATAAGGAGTGTATTGGATAAATTTAACCTTTGGAATTCCATTAAAATGATTGTTAGTGACACAACAAACGTTAATACAGGGGTTAAAAGTGGAGTTGTTCGTTTCCTGAAGAATTGTTTTCAGGAAAAACATTTGTCCCCACCACAGTATATTCGTTGCCAACATCATGTATTAGATTTAGTTGTGAAGCATGTGATGAATGAAGTACTAGGTGGAAAGTCGACATCGCCAAACATCAGTTATGACATATTTACCGAATTGATTATAAACTACGAAAACAAAAAACGAAGAAAAGTTGATCTTAAGATCTATTAAATGGCGTGATGACATGCAATTTTTATATGAACTAGGGCAATATTTTAAATATTATGCAGTAAACAACAAGCTCCCATACATAAAATTTAGAGTTTTACCAGCGCTCAGCAACGCTCGATGGAATTCTAGAGCTATTCTAGCGATTTTAACGTTCATACTATACCGGAACACAGAATACAACTTTTGCCAATTTGCCAATTCATATGCAGCGTATGGTATGATGCTTGGTTCTCGGATTACCGTTTTCATAACAATGATTTTGAAATATTGTAAAAAGCCGTCAAGCATCCGAAACTGCGCATAAGTGTTTTCTTAAACACTGGGTAAAGGAAGATTCTGCCATTCTGAATTTAAAAAGATCTAATATTTGCGCTGAAAGAGCCATCAAAGTTGTTCAGGAAATTTACCCTATTTGTAAATCTGAATATAGTTTAAATCTTAAGTTTATCTCAAATAATATCAAAATTAATTAAATAATGAACTAAAACGTATATTTACTATAAAAATGTATTTGTCTTGTACTTAAGTTAGTCATATTGCTTCTAAATCAAAATTTGTCTTCTTCTTCTTCGCATATAACATATGAATTTTTTCAATTTAAATTCTGTGTGAAGTTTTTGAAATAAACCGAAAAACTAAAAACGCAGTTATAATTTTTTTACTATTCCTCATCGTGTTATGGCACGCAAAGTAGGTGTTACAAAAATAGACTACCCCTACTACACATCTGTAGCTGTACATTGTTAAAACTACAATAACGCAGCGAGCGAAGTGGCTACATTTTGATCAGAAAGCCTATGGGGATATAATGCTTTCAATTACATGACCAGAATTAGGTCTGATAACCGAATGCGAACCTTCACACGAAATGTGGGAAAAGGTAGAGTCTGCTCCCAGTTAAAGGGTCCTGCGGGAAAAGTCACCCTATTGAAACGTATTGCATTCGCCCACTGTGAAATTTTTAAATGAAACTTTTGATAAAAATGATGAAATAGATTTCGATATACGAAAAGATGAAGTATAGTTGAATCTGAGGAAATAACTGAGG